TAGATGCAAAAGAAGACGCTTGATGAAGACCTGTTGTCTTGGTGATGTAAATTAAGCTACCAACAGAATATTGTTGTGTTTTCACCTTTTTTTTTATTTTTTTTATTTCTCATTTTTTTATTAAAGATACTGGAAATTCGAGACCCGATCATAGTCATGCAAGAAATATTAAGGAAGTTGATAATAATTAAGACGATTTAAAAAAAAAAGATGGTTTAGTGTGTGAGACTCTTGTTAATGTGAAGTTTAAAGAAAGTTAAATGTATATAATTTTACCCCGCATACTGAGAAATTATGTTGGGCATTATAACCTCTAATACAATAATGTGTGTAATTATATGTTAAGTGAATGGGTCGTTTTTTGAATTTGCTTAAAACTTCAGCTTCTTTTGGTTTCAGATGAAAACAAACTTGCTTCGTTTTGACTCAGATTTATTAGGTGGCTTTTCTATCAGTGTTTTGGATAAAAATAACTTTTATTATCACTAAAGAATAGCTAAAAAACTAAGGCCTATTCAAGGGTTTTCAAGGAAAAATCAATTTTTTTTTAAAACAACACTCCAAACAATTTCAAGAAAAATCAGTTCAAAACGGACTCAATGTCTTGGTAAGTGCTCTTAAATTGTTTAGTAAAAATCAGAAATATTCTTTCTTGCGGATCCTCTCAATTTCAAACTTTTCAATCTTGATCAATTTCAACTGTTCGTATAAAATGGAGGAAGTGAAACCCAATGATTTGGTGGTGATGAACTGTGATCGCCCCAAATTGGAGAAACTTGGAAATACCATCATCCAGATTTATAATTGTGGAGGGTCAGCCTCAACACAGCTGGCGTACACTCAATTGGCATTTGATGCAGGATGGTTGGAAATGAACGTGTGATGTCACAAATTTGGTGAGTGTATATTTAAGTGGATAATTTTAGGTGTACAAAAATTGTGAATCAAATTATTATCGACCGTTAAATGATTGTGGATCCCACTACAGGTTGGTAATGGTTTGATGCTCAAATTTGAGGTGCATAATATTATTCAAAGTATTCTCGAAGTTAATTATATATTTAAAGATCACCTTCTTTTATTTTAATTTTAAAATTGTGAATTCAAACTTCGTTATTTTCTTCTATGTAATAATGATTAGCGAAAAAAAATGTATTAAAGTACCCTCACAAATCTCCATGTGTGTTTACCGTCAAGTTGGGTGGTCCAATGAGATACCAGTTGAATTTCTCACCTTGAGATTTGAGTCTTAGAATCGACATTAGAGTTCGGTGGTTGACTGACATATCAGTCTAACTAGATTCGTTTCCAAGAAGAGTAATAGATCAGGGATCTCATAATCCCACAAATGAGGCCGAAAATAGATGAAAATTTTTAAGCATTTTGCCATGATTAAAAAATGTGGTTTAAATTAATATTTTCAATGTACTTTTTTTTATATAAGAATGATTTTACATTAATAACTTGTGTCATAAAAATAGTGTAAAAAATATTATGTACATTAAAAGATTATTAAATTCTTAATTTGCATCTTAAAAGATTAAATTATTATATTGCACGACAAAAAGGATCTTGTGTAGTCCAAAATTAAATATTTTTTTGTGGTATTTGTTCCTTTATCCTATTTTTATGCACAATTATTTACATAATACTTAATTTTAAGCGTTTTACACTAAAATTTTGTACTCAATTTTATTAAATAAAGTGCATTGTTACTTATTTATTTGATTGAGGGTGTAATATAATAATCTCAATATTTTAAGGTGTAAATTGAGAATACAAATATTTTTTAGGTGTAAAATATCATTTTGCCTTAAGAAATAAAATAAATTCAAAATAAAAGGGTAAAAGGGTAAAACAAATGGAAAAATCATGGTATCAGAAACCAACGATAAAAGCAGCCATTAAACGACAACGTACTACACAACAATATGTATGTCCTACTTTGAGGACAAGTCGTCATTACAGCTCAGCACCATTAAAATTTAATTTCGGCACATTATTTTGATTATCCAGAAAATGAAAGTGTGAGGATTCAGCGGTGGCCTAATGGCCAACTACCCCTTCCAACCTCATCCATTCTTTCCTTATACAACCTGTAAAAAAAAAAAAGGGGGGGGAAATTTCGAGAATGTTTCAAAAATATTTTGAGACATTAGTTAAAATATGTCAAAATATTTTGAAAAATTATTAAAAATATGTCGAAATATTTCAAAACACTTAAAAAAATTAAAATTTTGATTCAATCATTGATTCATTTCGATTTTTTTTAAAATTACGAAAACATTTCGATTAATTTGATCAATTCAAAACAAATTTTCGATCCCTGACTGACACCATTACAGCACGTTACATGCATATTAAGTCAGCACTGCAGACAACGCCAGTACGCCACCATAACGATAGTTGCCTAAATTAGGTTACCTAACCTGGGTATACACATGCTACTACCAAGACGGAAGGCCGGCAGAAGCTTGAGTTCGTTTTGGTTTTGCCCAATTTTTTTGTTGGGAATAGTACCGGATTGAGTCATGAGATAATCTCTATTATTTTTTTAATATAATTTTATTTTATTGTAGAATCACCCACTATGTATTAACGTAAGATCGATTAGTTATATGTGAAACTTTTATTCATATACGATTGATGATCTATCAATAAGTGAAAGTGTAATATAGAGAATTTAGATCAAAGATTACCGTCCAATAGATCAATCAAGTTTGTAATAGCAAAAATAAAATTGCATAACAGAGGTTCTTAAATCACTCTAGTTTATTAATTATCCTTTCGATATTTTTTTTTTTGTTCAACAGTCAAGTGTGTTCAAGTCAATTTATATGCAACTCGATTAATTTTCTCCCCGGTCGGTTCGATCAAAAACAGGTCATCCACACCGGAACTAAGATATTTATGAAGAATAAATCTTTTATAGCTTAACCCTAAAAGATTATCAATATTTAAACTTATGATATCTGAATTTACAATTTGTCCATGTTATTATTTGAACTGTTCTTTTTGAGTTACTTTTAAAAAATCTCTCTCAACATCTTTTTGAAAAAAAAATTCTCAACATCTTTACATAAAAAGTTTAAATCAAATTATATATCAACTTGGTCACAAAAATGTAATTAATTAAATCATCACAACAAATCGACTTAAATTCTGTTTATATGGAGAAAATATTGAATGTAACGGTTATATCACTTCAACAATATTCTGTGATGTAATTTTTCGATAATAAGTGAATAAATCAGCAAATTCACAAAAGTTATAATTACTTAATACATAACCACCTCAATAAGCGGGCTCCATTTTATCTTTTTTGTAATTTTTGGGTTATTAAAATTCACATTATTTCTAATTAGACATATCTTTAATGAAATTCCCTTAATTATCTAAAACATTATTGCAATACTTTTTGACAAATTTTTTTTAAAATTTTAATCAGTTTGAATCAAATTTTAATACATAAAAAAATATAATATTTAATCAACTCGAATTTTAATATATAAAAAATAAATTTTAATTAATTCAAATTAAATTTTAATCAATTCTAAAATTACACCACGTAGAACCAGAGACAAAATGTAACCGGTACATTCAATATTTAATCGCTTTATATGGTAGCTGCATTTACAAAAATGCCATGTACCAACAATTAATACCGTTGAGGTGGCGAAATCTGACTATTAATATTTGTCTCTTTCAGGTTCGATAAAAAGAACAAACAGGTCTTTTGCAGTAAATTTTGTTTGAATATAATAAAGTAATAAATAAAGAGATTTTTACATATTATTTTGGCAAATTGACCAAAAATATATATTATAAAAAATTTATGATAAACTCATGTCTTAAGACATTTAAATTTTAAATAATAATTTAATTTTTTTAATTGTTCAATTCAAAATTAAAGTAACCATAAAGGAAATAAAATGAAGATAGGAGAGAAAGAAGAGAGAGAGATAGGTGTACATATTTTTTTTTTTTTGGTTTTTTTAGGGGAGGGAGTTTGAACCCTTGATCTTAAGAACACAAAGTGTTTACGAGATAAAAAGTACAATTAGACCAAATTGCCTATTGGTGGGGTTGTTTACCACTCTATTAGTTGAATTGTTTGACATTAAGGTTGTGCAAAAAATTGAGTTGAATTTTTATAATTAAATTAAAATAAATAAAAATTTAGAATTATTATATTTTTATGGGTAAAATACAATTTTACTTCTCAAAATATGCATATAGTATCTATTTGGTCAATAATATTTTAATTATGTATATTTGGTCCATAAAATTCATAATTGTATCTACGTTGTCCCAATCCCAATTGGTCATAAGAAAACTTTAACGCTTCTTTTCACGAACTAATAACGCGAGACTAAATAAACACAAATTAAAAATTTTAGAGATCAAATAAACACAAATTAAAAACTTTAAGCATTAAATAAACATAAAATTAGAAATCATGTGATTGACGCGTGATCAGAATTGTTACAATTTTTTAATGGACATTTGAGATTGAACCACTTAGATACAAATTAAAAATCTTAAAAACTAAGTAAATATAATTAAAAAATTAAAAATCAAAAAGAAATTAAACATATATTTTGAAAACTAAAAATGTATTTTATCCTATTTTTATATTTGAGAATTCATAATATTAGATAGATTAAAGCTCAATTGCTTTGGACAGAACTGAAGCATGCATGAGTGACAGGCGGCTCAAGACACGACAATCTCACTCCAAAACAAACAAGCACTTGAAAATGGAGCGGCGCGTGTTGTTCACGTCGCAGTAACTACTCTCACTCATTTGTTCTTAAACACTCTTCCTCCAACCTTTTTTCTCTCACCTAATCCCCACTTATATTCTATACCCCCTCAAAACCCACCACCAGAATCACAAAACAGCGCAAAAAGCCTTCCATTATACGAGTGGTTGGTAGTAAAGTCTAAACTCTGTGTCTTCTGGGAAAGTCCAGAACAAAGAAACAAGAAGGGATTGGATGGTCATGGACTCCATCTTGTGCGACGAGCTCCTCCAAGAAATCTTCCACCGCCTCCCGCCGCGGGGTTTCTCCGCCGTCTCTCTGGTTTCCAAACGGTGGCTTCGCCTACTCCGTTCTTCCACCACCTCCCTCTCCCTCCGTTTCACCCCTCATCATAGCCCCACCGTCCTTTCTTTCTCCTCTTTCCTGTCCCACCACCCTTTTCTTTCTTCTCTGTCTGTTACCTCCGTTGCCGGCTGTGGTGACACCTCCAACTTTTCCGATGAGTTTCTTCTATTCATAGCCTCTTCTTGTCCCAAACTACGCACCCTCCGTTTCTTGATCGGTCCACTCTCTCTCTTATCTCTTCGTTCTCTCTCCTCTTCTTGCCTTTGCCTCTCTTCTCTCACTATCACTCTCTCCAGACCCCTCTCTTTTAACTGGCTCATCCATTTTCTCTCTCTCAAAGATCTCTCAATTTTTTTTACCGCCACCACCCCAGAATTTAATCCCATCGAGCAATACAGGGAAGGATTTGAAAACTTCGATGCTGAATTAGGAATTGAATGTCTTTGTTTATCCGGGATTCGAGGCTATGATTGTGTGCTTAATTGGCTATGGGATAGATGTAAAAAGCTCAAGAAACTACAGTTAAAGAGCTGTGAAGGAATTGGCTCTTTTTCCTCTTTTGCTAAATGCTTGAAGTGTCTTCAAGAAGTGGAATTGAGGAGTTGTAGGACTATAGTTGATGGGGTTCTGTTAAAATTAGCTGAGAATTCTGAATCTTTGGATTCACTATTGGTATATGATGGTGGTAGTAGAGAGGGTTTGCTTCAATTCATTACTCAAACCAGGTGTAATTTGCAAAAACTCGATTTAAGATTGCCTCTAGACCTTGATAACAATCATTTGATGGCCATGGCTGAGAATTTCAGGGGATTATTGAGTATAAGGTTACAAAGTTGTTGTCTTGTTACTGGTGAAGGGCTCAAGACTCTTGGAAGAGCTTTGAGTGATAGCCTTGAAGAGCTGGCTCTGATAAACTGTGATGTGGTTGAGAGAGAACCAGGATTATTGACCACATTAGGACAGAACTTGAGACAATTAAGGAAATTGGATTTGTCTTATAATGAACTGTTGGTTGATAAAGAGTTAAATTCAATGCTAGTTTCATGTAATCATTTGGGTGAATTGAAGTTGAGGGGATGTGAAGGACTGACTAATGCAGCCATGGTTTCAGTGTCCAAGTATTGCAAGCAATTACAATGTCTTGATATTATGCATTGTGTTGGGATTGAGGTGGACGCAGTCGAGTTTTTGGTTCGAATTCTCCAATGCTGAGGCGTCTGCAGGTTGAGCAGGGCAAGCTCTCTGATGTTGCGAGGATGTGGGTGTTGAATATGTTTATAGAAGTCGTTTGATTGACTATATTTGGCAGTGGAAGTGCCAAGAACATCTATTTATGTTGTCTTTGATTGCACATGAAACAGGTAAATATTCTAATAATCTTTCATGGATTGATTTCATAGGTTTTTATTGTATTGGTGGATCACATGGATGTTCGATATTACAATAATACACAATGTATCGCCTAAATTCGTGGATTCTTTATCTGCTACAATTGTCTAAAGCACATTTCTAATTCCTATAATACTGTTGCTGTTCTTAGTTTTATAGTGCTTCATTTACAATTTTGCCTCATTTATCCATATATGTATTTCCTATACATGCAATCTTTTGAGGACTAGTTATGGAATGTGAGTGCCTATGTCTTTGTTTAAAATGTACAATATCATATGGAACCTCAATTTTTCTCAAAAACTAATCCATTTTAATCCTGGGCTTTTACATAGTGAAGGGAAACGCATAATTATCATCAGAGCTAGATTATATATAGTTGAATTTACCGGGGGGAAGAGGGGGGGGGAAGGATTGGAACTCTGAATTGTTGTCTTCTTTCACTCGGTCGGTTGTAATGCTGCAAAGTTGTGTGATGATAGTTTGAACCTGGATTTAATGAAATCTTTTAAGAGGAAATTATATGAGAAACCATGCCGCAATCTAGCAACTAAGGTCTCATCAAAATCATCTGAAAAATTAAATATAGTACTGGATGAGATGGTAAATAATTTTGGCAGATTCCGTAACTTACTTAAAAGTTTGATCAAATATGAGGACATTGTCACTGTTAGTTTTTAATTGTCTTCTAGAGGAAAGTTAGAGTTTTGAGTCGTGACATATTGGAAAAATCACAAAATCTGCAGTTATAGTTGTCGTAAAATTGAGATTATTTTGTTTCTTTCCTTATCAGAGAGGGGCCCTTAGGAAGTGGGGCTTCTTTATTGAAAAGGAAAGAGAGAGAGAGAGGGGGGGGGGGGGGGGAGGGGAAGAAGATGTGCTTGTGATGGTATTGTGATGAATCTACTTGCTGTTTATGTTGCTTGAACTTCATTACTTCGTTATATAGAACACAATGTAGAAATGTAGTCTTAGTTCACTCTTGGTTGCCATGGCTATTTGTTCATTATTGGCAGATTAATGCTAGTGAATGATTCATATGGAGTGATTACAAAACCAATGTGAACAACTTTGAGAGATAGGCTATGGCAACTGCTAACAAAAAATTTGTAGGGTTTCATTATCAAGTTAGGCATATGAAGGATAATTCCATCGCGTTTGATCATCTAGGTGGTAGCAGAAGCTGTGACTGGGAGGCTTGAATGGCTTTCTCATTGCTTTGTTGAGAAATGAGAGATTATAACAATATGCTCCTTGGCACTTTTGTTTTGCACGAAGAATTGATGAAAAGAAGAATCTTAATAATTGTCTGGATATTGACAATAGGTAGGTTTAAGAATGATATTGTGACTTATAGGAGAACTTAGGATTGCACTAAGACCATGCCTTCCTAAAGGCAGTCGTGGAGGGAAGGGAAAGCAAACTTGCATAGCGAGCTACCAGGAATAAGAATTGAATCTCCACAGCATGTGTTTGGAACTTCTCGGACTCATCCTGCAGGACGAATTGCAGGCAGGAATTATGCAGTTTCTTGCAAGAAGATGCTGGTGGGTCGTCCTTAGTATTTTCTATACTTAGTTGGTGACACCACGTGACATTGATGATGTAGTGTTTTCTCTGCCCTTTGATTCATCTTCCGGAGATCCCAGGAAATGAACAGTTTGGGTAAACACCAAAGAGACCAACATCTTGTCTCTTTTATTTTTTTAATATCTATCAAATATTACAGCTCGTAAGTGATATATATTCCTTGGGTGATACTTTGACCGAAGCACATACCTGAATTACCATTATAATTTCAGCCTAGTAGTCTCATAATTTCAGCATGGTCTGGTATGTAGCTGCTATTCAATCGATTTCCCGATATTTGGATCCAATTTCTGGTTATGTTTCGTTTTTCTAAAAATATTTTGGTCTGTTAGGGTAATAATTCAGTCCGTGTGTAAAAAGTGTAAACCAATACCAGACATTGCAGTTGCGCAGTGTAGTTTGGCTTGGGCTTGGTGAGTGGGCCACACTGCTTTGATTTGGACAAGCTGAAGTCAGAATTGCATGGGCCAGACCCAAGTACAGCATGAACTGGCCCTTGGGCTTCCTTGCCCCCATTGAATTCAGAATGAAATGGCCCAAGACCCACTAATCCCAAAATAAAGTGGTCCTTGGGCCTAGTTCCTGTTAGTCAGTCAGCTTCTCGCACATGGATCATGCCTGGAGCTGATAATTGAGTTAACTTGAATAATTTTTTAGGTTTATTTTTAAAAGACTCGATTCTATGTGAAATAGTCGAGTTATTCGGGTTCGATTTAAACTTAAACAATTTTTTAGTCTCATTTAAAAAAATAACTTCGATAAAATCAACTCTATTATCATCCCTAATGATGTCATGCTAAAATTAAAAAGAAGACTTACGGTACTCAAATCGGTTAAAAAAAAAAAGTACCATACCACCCTTGCAAACTTATTGAGTCAATTCAAGGTTCATATTATTATCCATGAACTAGGGATTTGAGTACACTCCCATAAATATTTTTATTTTTTATCTTGACAAATTATCTACCAGGAATTTATTTATATTTATACACAATAAGTTTCATTTGAATTCTATTAATTAATCTACCAATAGGGAAAATATAGAGAGAATTTATTGCAGAAAATCTCGTATCATCACCTAGTCCTAGTGACAATTTTTGATGCAATACAATTAATACATTTCTATTTAAGTTCTAAAATTTGGATTTTTGTTTTCATGGGGTTACGTAACAACCTGAATACGATACAATTAATAGAGTGGTCTGATTAATATCAAGACAAGACATATGACACAATCAATTTATTGTGTCATGTTATATTCAAACTAGGGATAACCCGTTCAGACACGATGAAATGTAAATAGTTTTGAAAGTAATGTTAGTGGCCGTTAGATAAATTTATTTAAAATCGTTAAATAAACTTATTGAAACTTATCATATTTTATATTATAGATGACCACAAATGATTGTCATATCTAATAACTAGTACATTAGGTTGATGGTGAGGCTCACTAATTTTATTTAAGGGCTTAGAATTGGTTGGTAGTGATACTACCGAGTAATGGTGACATAGTATCATGGATTAAATAGTCTCTCTAGTACCGAGCATAGGATATTGTGGATTTTTTTATTTAATTTTTCTTTCCCAAGCTAACAAGTATGTTACCGACAAAATGAGAAACATATTATTCTTATCGGTCATACTTAAAATCCTTTATCGCCCATATATTAATAGCCATAGATTTTGATTTGGTAGTGTTATAGTCCTTAATTATAAAAAGGATAACAAAATAAAATAATAAGATATATATTATTTTTTAATAAGTCAAAAAATAGGATAAACCCAACATCTATCACGCCTCTCAAAATCGTCTAAAGTCATATCCAATCCTATCCATATAGGATAAGTTAAACAGCAAAGTGCATTTTAGTCATTTCAATTACCGCCGAAAAATGGGAAAGAAATAAATAAAGGTAGGATCACCCGCCTTTCGCGGGGCTATCTTTTTTTGGCGCGAAGCACGCTAAAAGCCTGCAGAATATTGTTTGGATTCCCGCCAAAATTCGACGGGCAGGGCAAATCTTTTGGGGGGCAGCGGGCAGGGCAATTGGGCCCAAACCGCGTAAAACCTAAAAGACCCATCGAAGGATGTGCGGTGCATTGGCTTCGGCTTTGGCTTCGTCTTCTGGGCTTTGAAAGTTAGAAAAAGGAGAGAATGAAAGGCGGTGACTGCACCGTGTATGCCGAGTTGTAATGTTATTATTGCAATTAGAATCTTCTTCTTAGGATTCCTTGCTACCCCATGTGTGCATGTCTACTCTCTCTCTCTCTCTCTCTCTCCATTTCTTATTTCTTATACATTGAATGATTGAATTCTTCTCCAAGTATCTGTATCACGAAACAACTTCTCATTAATTCAAAAAATAACTCGGTGTTAATAAGAACAAATTAATGAACTTTTTATCTAAGGTTAATCATGGGTGCATTTTTCAATTTATCAGAGTCTAAACTCAAATTCTAGCTGGTAATAGAATAATGAGCTGAGCAATAGTGTATAAGATTTACGAAGTGAATCAATCATGAATGAGAATACAAGCATGACAATTAAGCTCAAGCCGAACATTAATTGGTGTTATGGGGTGGTAAATGAGTCGAAGCAACAAAGTTTGAGCCAGAGCTTGAAAAAAGAATTTAGAAAATTGTTCAAACTTGATTTTTTATTTTAAATGAACAAGTTTGAGTTGAACTCAAAATAGGCCGAATCGGAGCTAAGCCCAAAACGAACCGAATTTATATAACTCGACTATTTTATATATAAACGAGTTGAACATTGCAATGTCAACTTGAGCTTATAAGATTCATTTTTTAAACGAGCTTAAAAAATTATTTGAACTCAAAACGAAACAAATTTGAGCGGAGCTAAACCCGAATAACTCGGATCTTTTACCCTCCCTAATTGGTGTAGTCAACTTGAAGTAAGCCTTAACATGCCAAAACTCGAAAAACTCAACTAAATTAACATGGTAAATTGATAAGATTGGATAACCCTTTTGGGGATCGTGAATGACTCCAATTTGCTAAACATGTCGCCTAATAAGTAATAAGTAAGACACTAATTACATCGATTGACTTGATGAATCCAATTAGTTCATGGCTTCTTTACTTTATCAATCAATCTTTATTAATTTTCGGGTCCCCACACGTTAAGAAATCACGAAATTCGTTCCTCACGTAGCTTGGTCAAATTTCAACTAGAATTACCGTGCAAGAGCTGTCATAGTGTCATTTTCCCT